GAAGAAGAAGGAGATCCGTCAAACGCAGTGCAAATGAGTCTTTGCACGGCACACCACCAGCTTTTGACGATTGTATGGTTTATCGTTACACTTGCCCCGATCACGTCAGAATCTCCTGGCTACATGCAGCACCCTTCCTTTATGATGCCAATGGCATTAGCAACAAAAGCCAAGAACATACACCAAATATGAAAGGCATTTTTCATGATGTAGTAACCCGAGCAATTGGCGCTTGTTGCAAGATATTTGCTGGCAAAATCCCGCAAATTCGTTTTCTCGAAAAAGCGCCAAATCTAATGGCTCTACGCCACAAACTCCTCCATCGCTCGGCAGACATGATAATTCCCGTGCACAACGATGAGGAGAAATACGGAGGAAACGTGCCGTACATCAAGGTATTAGACTCCCCTGGTGTTATACTCATCGCCCCTCATTCCTCCACGGTTAAAAAATGGAACTTGGTATTCAAAGCTGTGTTTGGAACATGGCCAGTGGTTTTAATGGCGTTCTTAATGTCATCCGTGGCTGGTGTACTGATTTGGGTTTTGGTGAGTAGATGGAAGACCGTTGATTTGTTGTGCAAATGTAGGCGAGGGTAGCGAGTATAGTCTGTTTTATCTTTTCTTTATTTAGATTATGAGCTGAAAAAACCGAGCTGGTTTTCAGATCCAATTAGGTTTTCGCCCTATACGTGGTAAAATAACAAGAAAAAAGCCATTCTTCCTAACAACGACTTAACTTTAATCTTATGTTGAGAACGTAGTAACGTAGTTACCAGTGGTCGACGAATAAAATATCATTCACCAACATTAATAAAAACGCTATTGTTTACTTTACATCAAAGTAGCTCACTTTGTTTAATGTGGAGGGAAAAGTATGCTAATTTTTGATTAACGCTTTGTAAACGTGAAAAGGTAATTATATCTATTATCGCGGACTTGATTGTGCCAAAGGAAAAGGAACCAATGTATCTTTGAAGCTATTCAGCCATGTACATACTTAAGTTCTTTTTTCACCCTTTTCTTTCTAATTTTCACTCCCACCAGAATAAACCATGCATTGTTACGACAAAAATAGTTTTGCGAAAATTTACTCCTCTCGTACAGAAATTACTGATAACTTGGCTGACGGGCTCACGTTTTTATGTAAATTTACACAAAAGCGTGAGCTATAATTCATCATTTCTTCTCAAGAAGCCAAAAATTGGCAAAATT